TACCACTAAGACTTCTCGCACCGCCATTGCCGCATGACAAGGGCGGGGAAAATACGGAGTAGACAGTGTCTGGGCCCGTTATTCATTTTTGTGAGAAAAAAAAACCAAGCGCATTGGTCAAAAGGGTTTGACTACGCTTGGCTTTGTCGAGGCGTTCGCTCGGAAGATCAAAAGATCACGAAAGTCCCAATATTACAAGTCACAATTCGTTCAAAGGATTACGTCAAGGCAACTTCCTGTGTCAGCCCTAAGGGGCTTTTCACAAGATTACAAGAGTATGCTCAGAAAGGCGGTGCAATTTAAAAAAAATTAACTAGCCAGTAGGAAAATTGTTATTGGGCGAGGTGACGCCGTCAGCCGCGGCTTTTCAATGAAGTATTTTAGTTCAACATTTGTCTGAAAATGGCTTTTACTGAGGAGCATAAGGTAAATTATGTTTGAAAGATTCAGGCTCTAAAATGATTTAAGTGGTACCTCGATACCGGAAACTTGTTTCAGGGCCCTCGTTAGAAATCGAATAACACTTCTTCCAATCTTAGGCGAATTCATCTGAGTAAGTCCGATGATATTTATAAGAGAGGTCAGCTAAACTCTCCATGACCTCTAGAATCGGGAATGAACGAGTGATCGGTGGGATGGAACACACCATAAATGACATTTGTTAATCGCTCAGCTGAACTCGTTGTACTAAGTACCTTGCGGAGCAGATCAAAGGGCAGTGCGAACTTCAGTCTTCAACAATAGTCTTCGCATCAGAACTTGGGTTGAACCCCATATTTAAAAGCACATTAAATCATGCTTTACCATATAATTTGGTAATTCTAAATGATTGAGTAAATCCGAATTCGCTTCCGTCGGATTCACTTACCCGATTGCGCTAGGTCGATGCACGGAGGAGGGCCTTGGGGGCAGGGTCACATGTCGGGGGGAGGTTTCCGGGGGAACGGATGAGCAGGCTTCACGTGAGGTGGATCCAGAGGACGCACCAGCTGCTCCCTGAGGCTCCTGTAGTCGTCGTATAGACTGATCAAGAAGGGAGATTTCTGAAAATGCTGTATTCCACCTCAAGGCATCCTTGAAAAAAAAACAAAGGAGTATTCTTAAGTCCACGGATATTCAATCATATAAGTAGCATAGCTTATGCAAAGTCCATGCTGAGTAGGGAAAAAAGTCTAAACATGCAAAAATGAGTATCAGTAAAGCCAAAAGAGACTGAAATTGGCATTTTTGACTTATAGGCCTTCATTAGCTGGCCAAACGCAATCACACTTGCAGAGAGTCAGGCTACTTGACGTTTGAGGATCAGTAAATGTGGGTCCTATTCCAAATCCTGTAAACCTGGGGCTACGAGGGACAATGGCTAGCAGACCATAAATGATCATCTCAGCTTTGCTTGTCTTTATTGAGCTGGTACCGTACCCTGCTCAGCGAACGTCATTCCATGATGTTGACAAAATTTTGGAACACTTTCAAGAAAGCCAAATAAAATTCCGGTTTGGAATGAATGGTGTTTGCATTCTAGGTATTTGCGTGGACAAGAAAGGAGACATGTAGAGCACCGGATCAACTGGTTAATTGTCCTGAGCTTTGGAACTCTTATAGGAGTCCATCTTCAGAGATGAGACATCATATTTAAAATGAGATATCAGTTTTCTGTTACCACGACATGCGTGTACAAATAGAGAACTCAAAGGCAATCTACCTGCATATCCCATAAATAAACTGATACTGATTCTGAACCAAAAGGAGGGTAATTATAGTGGCTACAGGCAAATCAACTGTAAGAAGTCATCAGATTGTCAAGGGGTTGGAAACAGAAATTAAGAAGGATGGAGGGGGGGCAATTATAGTGATGTACGCTAATTAGCTGTCAGTGAAATCGGGAGTTGCTCGTAGTCATCAACAGCAATTAGTGTGGCGCCTTTATCCCACGGTAGAGGGTCTTGGTAGTCCTGCCTCCTCTTCCGGCCGGTTCCTCGTGGAGTCCTCTTCGCTTAAAATTCTAACGTTCAGTTTGGTCTTATTCTGTCCTTTTCCCACATAATGGCGCAAGACTTTTTAGGCCGCGGGCAAGTCCAGATGCCTGTTGATAGAGTTGGCATCTGAGTACCATGACAGTTGGTTGGCTTATAGTCACCATAAATACCCTCCTTTTGGTTGCTACTTCTCATCTTTGACGATGGACTCCTGTAAGAGTTTCAAAGCCCAGGAAAATATACCAATTGATCCGGTGCTCAATGTCGTTTTTTAAGGTGGTTTCCCGAAAAAGCCAAAAATTTTCGGTTTAAAATAAAACGGATTCCAAATATGACTTCTACGGTACGAGCAGGTGCCGGAGAGAACCTCTGACCGGTCTCTGCATCACTCTTGAGATATTTTAACTCTAAGTACATCCGCAACCATGACCATAATCCAAATATGCACCTTGCCCACAAAATCAACACTAATTCAAATCTCAGTCTTAAACTATTCCTTAATTTCTATTGAATTAGCGCACATCGATCTGGTCGCGAGACATGTTCGTCCAGTGGCACCTTACGGCTCAAGCTTATGCCCTCGCGGACAGCCGCGTAGTGACCAGCAATGATGCAGGGAGAAATGCGGACAAAGAAACTGCAAAAAACATTTTCCAATGGCATTTTCGGTGTTAGCTCTAAGCCATGAGGTTTTATTTGAACCTGGAATTCATAGTACGTAATATCTTGGACAAAGCAGATGGGGGAGCGGAAAGTGCTCTTCCTGTTTCTTTTTCCCGTTTCGTTCGTGTGGCATAACGGTCAGCAGTGATGCAGGAAGGCACTGAGGCGCGCTTACGACGTCGTCAGTCAGCTATGCGTTATCCCACGATTGGATATCTGAGGCCTCGAAACCAAGTCCTTTGCTCATAGGTATTATCTTAACTTGCGGCCCGGGTAACAATGTAAATCAATAGCGTCTATTTCACTCTCTCACATAGCGGAGCCCAAATCCGAAGTCTTTTATTACTTAGGTTCGCGTGCAGTCGGTTAAACACGGCATAAGGGTCGGAATGGTCCTCCAGTTTTCTTTCAAATACTCTCAAGGGTGAGTCACCTTTACAGTTAGAAAGCCTGCTGTCGGAGCTGGTTATTTGCTCTGCAAACGGCTTTGGCCCAGGGAACCTAGGAGCAGTACTTGCGAGTCATCAGAAACTTTTCCAGGCCCAAACTTTAAATTCGTGAACTCATTGTGGTAAGGGCAATACTGAATAGACTGAAAACAGTGCACAGTGGCCTTTCATTAGATTGCGCCTCAACTTTCGTGGCTTCAGTCTATGGTTGATTTTATATGCAAGTAAATCTACATTTACATATCGCGGGTCACTCACTGGTTTGGGGATTTCTGTGTACAATGGGTCTTAATATTTGTGGTACATGGTTTCTTAGTTTAGTTGCCCAGTTGGCTTCATATATGAGACGCTACTGATGGACGGCTGTCTTACTTAATAAATTCTTAAATTATATATGATAAGCATGTTTGTGCGTAGTGTATCATCTGTGTTTTAACATACTTATGAAGGGCATACGTCGTGTGTATAAGAATGTAGGAAAGGTTAAAAGGGCTTAACGTATATTAAATAACCATATAAGGATTTGGTTTTTACTTCGCGGAATTCAACCTTTCGCGGGAGTTCTAGAACGTCATCCCGTAATCAAGGAGTGGGCACTATATTCAAAACATTATTTGTGTTTATCACTCAAAACCTCGGCTGAAAACAAAAGAGTAGGATCGATCCCTGTTTTCATCGTCAGATACCCTTAGGATTCGAAGCCCTGTAGAATTCATGACCCAGCAACGTACATATCCGCGCTACTCATTCAAACGGGCATTTTGTTGACCAGGCAAGCATCACTCTGCAGAAAGCGTACAATGACAAGACGGGTTGGCTTTGTTATTTCCGCGTTATTTTTCGTCGTCAAACAGTCATGCCCAACTACATGTCTGGAGAACCCAGGATTCAAACCGGGACTCTTCGATCACTTGATCTTTGATCAATAATCCTTAAGCAATTCAACTATTTACGTTGAGCCAAAGGGCCGTCGTCACGTCGTTTACGACTATAAATGTTAAATATGGGGAATAGCGCCCAAAGATCATGTTAAATGACGTGTCCTGTTTCATTGCATTCTTACTCACATAAACTTTTAATTACTCATCAGAAGGGCTATTTCAATTAAACCAAGACCCTTAGACTCAATCAAATCAAGTCAGAATGGGGTCTTTGAAAAGTGCTCGGCAAAAGTGCATCCCAGGAAACGGATCCCACCTCCGGCCAAACACGGTGCATCAACTTGTGTCAGATTAACTTGAGCTAACAGTTCGTGAGGCGCTCACATGATCGT